TTTTTTTTTTTTTTTTTTCATTTTTTCCTCCAGTGACATGTTCAACGTTTTAAAAACAGCAAAGTTTTGTTCTGGCAGGCCAGGGGCCTTAGATTTTATCGGTAGTTTTGCACGAATAACAATGATAAGTATAACAAAACTGACTATAGCAAAATGTAATGAGTGCCTCGAAACCTGTGTTCTGCGAAATTTAACGCTCCGCTCAAACTCACACACTTCTTTTTTGATCATTACTTCTCTAATAGCACAACAATCACCAAAGAATGTTCTGCAAATAACTATCCGAATGAAAAAGAATGGCATACACAGAAAACAAGGAGTCAAAGATGATGACTACATAAGTTAAATAGCGGCTACATGCGATCCAAGAATTGCCGCTGTAAAGCTTTTAGACTGGTTTTTTTCAGTGATGCTCTAATTACAATTTTATTTAAAATAGTCGAACTTTCGAATGGTATTGCAGGAAGTCCAAATCCGCAGGTGGAATGGTTGGATACAAAAGGCAAGGTTATCAGTGCAAAATCAAAACGCTTCCAGGTAAGTCTATCGAAGTGTCTGCATTCATCGCTGTTTGTGCTACTGAACATTTCGATTAAGATAGTGAAATAAAAAAAGGACAAAATAGGCTTCATACTTATGGGCAGCGCTTTTTTCCTCTTGGCTTTTGTGAGCCAGAAATTTTAATTTCCTCTTAATTAACAGATTCAAGAGTATTAAAGGCGGATGATTGAAATTTAGGTTTTCAAATTTTTTTGCACTTTGAAGAATTTGTTTAAGTCGTTACTAAGAATTCGACGAGCTCCTTTTAAAAATCCGTTGAGTGCAGTGGTGCCTCAGTTTTGCTTTACCTATCTGCGCCATCAGCCGGTTGCAAGCGTACTATGCAATGCACAGATAAATAAGGTAGGGAAGAGGTTAATTTTTAATACTTGGTCTCTGGAAAATCAGTAGCTGTTCGAAGCGCTGTGCATATTACAACAGAAGCGTCCCGCCATTCGTATAGTGTTCTCAGGAAAACTCCAGCAAACGCAAGACTTTCAGGCAGCAACAAGTGGCCAACAGACAACGCTTACTGTACTGAACGTGGATAATGATGTCCAAGGCATCTACACACTCAAAGTCAGCAATGAACTGGGCGAAGCGCAGTGCAAAATTAATATTGAGGTTAAGCACTTGATATTTTTGCTTCTCCCATGCTCCAGACAGTGGACAGCAAAAGAAATTAGTTTCGGACAAGAAGCTGTGAAACCTCTATGAGATTTGGCATCGAATTCCAGACAATTTTTTCAATTTCCGCTTTTATGAGAATTCAAAGAAGAGTCGACTGAAAAAGAATTTTTCAATCTTTCCACACAAATTTTTATCCCAAATAAAACACTTGAGTATCAGTATCTTTGAAAACGAATTACTCTGTTACGTTTGTGCACCTCCTATTATTAATAACAGCGTTATTTAGAAATACTAAGTCATCGTCCTTTAGTCTTTTTTATTTATTCGATGCTGTTTTTAGCTGTAATCTTGTTAACGAAGTCATACGTACTTAATTTGTTTATTTAGTAGATCGGTAAATTGAATTATATAGAATATTAATATGTAAAAATTTCTTTTGAATAACGGCTCCCTTGTATTATGCTTGATGTATCAGAAGCAACCGCACATGACGTATGATAGAGTCACTAAGAAACTGGCACTTACTTGATCATTGCCGTTTTTCCGTTCTCCGCTTTGAAGAACAGTAAACACGTGTCACAGTACTGTCGTAATGTTTTGTGGTGCAGGTTGTGGAAAGTCCCGGGACACCAGCTCGTCCGGTCATCGAGAAGCAAGAATTCGATTCGGTGAGCCTGAAATGGGCAGCAGTGCCGGGATCAACCAAATATATTGTCGAAATGAAGAAGGTTGGCTTTTGAAAAGTAGACTGAGAAGGCTTCAGTTGCAAGCTTTACTCCTCTTTTGCATGAAGTTTTTTTTTGAATAGCATTATGGTAAATGGGTCAAAAAAGACGCTTACTTATTTACCACTCATTTTTTCGGAGCAGGAAAACTCCGACAATAGTACGGCTGGATTTTGTCACCTGGATTTCCGGATGGCAGTCAAAGGAGCATTTTAAACTACCCCACTGGGCAAATGGTTATAAATCGTTTGCAGCAGGTGCTGCTGTTTCAAAGCATTCATAGGCAGCGACATTTTCACGTCACAGCTGTTATAAAAATTAAAATAAAGAAGGAATGCAGCAGTCGCTTGCATACTGATAAGGCATATAAACACATGGAATGAGGTAATGTCATTATATCATCAGAAAAGCAAAGATACCTTTGGTATTTAGAAAGGCCAGATGGATATGAATCGATTCCCAGTTCGTAGTGATGAGATGCGTCATTTCTATAACTTGCTTAGTACAGTCGTTTTCAAAAAATGTAGAATTGTAACATTTTAAATTACTATAATTCAAGCAAAAGCTACAATTGTGGTCGAGTAAATTCGAAAATTATTATTTTTGGAAAGGGCAGTTTAAGAAGATCCAAAAACCGTTGCTGTGTGTTCTTCTTCCACATTTTTTTTTTCAAATTACACTAAGGCAGCTACAAGTCCATTGATAAAAAGCAACGAAAACAGGAAGCTGATTTCTAGACGACCAAACAGTAGAACGGACATTTTTGCGCTTGATTATCTGATGAAGCATGTTCGACTGCAACAACTTTCAGCCACTCTCCAGTTTTTCGGATTACGAGAAAGCAATCAATAGCGCTGAGATGCTTATAAAAAAAAGGCTGCTGGAAAATCATGCCGAGATGAAACAAACTCAGAGTTTCTGATTTAAAAGAAAAATACTGTCAGTTACTGCAGTTTGTATGCCATTCGAGAAGAACTGATACAATCCTTTATCATCCAAACTTTCTAGAGAATATAAACTAAACATTCTCATTCCTTCTAGTTTTGTTTTAAACCATGTTTAAATTTTATCACTAACTCGTTATTTATTTGCTAGGAATTTTACTATTCCTCTCCCCCCTCCCTTCCACCTCCTCATAAAAAATGGCCAACGCACGGGCTGCCCGTGCGAAGATGCGTTTTTTGCAGAGTTCCCCGCAGG